TTCTCTGCCCCCGCGACGTTTTTTTCGGGAAGTACACCCCTTGGCTAAAAATAAACACCCTTAAACTGCTTTAGATGCTTTACAGAACTCGTCATTGCGCTGAAATACGCCCTTGGTTTAGTCTCGAGAGGGTAGGTTGTTTTTTTGAAGTTGTAGATAGCTGTAAGAAGTCAGACTTACCTCCTACAGCGACCTTATGTGTAGCGTGATTTTAAAACATCCGTCAGGTATTAATGGTTTCCGCTGCGGTTTGACACCACAGCAAATATTGTCAAGGTGTTCTTAGGCAACATGTATAGACTTTGCGATTTTATAAAGTGGTGCAGACATGCTAGAAGAGGTTTCAAATTTTCATTTGTGAGATTTAACGAGAATGGTACGCCAGTGGCTCATTTTGAAATACCAATCGCTCGGCGACCGAGCGAAAATGTTCTTTTCACCTCATTGTATCATTTTTCTTTTTCTTTTTTTTTTTTTTCTCGTTCTTTTGTTTTGCTGTCTGTTTCGTTGGTTCAGGTGTTGCAAAGTGGGAGACGACAGAAAAATAAAGATTACTTCCTAGGTTCCTCTTTTATTTGTTCGACGTCAGCGTTATCACAACGTCGTGTGCGAACCGAGCGCCTTTTGAGATCCACCAGAAAATGTTACTTTAGACACGCAGTCGTTCTGGGGGAGGGGGGAGGGGGAAGGTCAATGGAAATTTTGAGTGTCTATTTGTCACTGAGGGCTTGAGGTCCAGACCCTGTTTACAACAAAGTAACCGAAGATAATTATATACCTAGACATTCTAAAGGACTGAATTGATTTTAAATGCAATCTTAACAAGAAACGATAAGTTGAAAAAAAGATTTCATTAAAACAAGATGAATTGCGATCATTTTTCGGTCTTTGACCTCAGTAAATGTAAAAAATTGTCAAGCTAAAAGCGTATTCCTCTTTCAAGAATGCAAACGCACGCCCAGCCCTCCAGTGTGAGTTTAATGTGGGAATAATTGTCTACATGCAGTCTAGAAATCACAGCGAGAGCCTAGGCTGAGAAAGTTCGTAATCGACAATTAATCTTCTCTACGTATTCTAAATATAGAGAGTTTTGGAGGTTGTTTTGACTGTTCCGAAATATTTTGGTGTTGAATAGAAAGTTTCCTTTTATTATGATAAATGAGGTGAAGTGCGCAAAATATGCGATTCCCAGCAAATTTTCGCAAATATTTGTCCGGGTAATGTTTAACCCCAAAACACTAAGTAATTAAATTACAAATTAGGACCGCGCAAAGGAAGGATTTTTGACTGGCGACAGGACAATTTCAAGATTACATTTGTCATTCTCTAATTCCAAGGCAGCTGCTCTTTTCTCAGGAACCGCAAGGCAAATTAACAGGAAGGGACTAACACGAGTGTCGAGTGGCCTTTTAAGATGAATCTCGAGATGCCGTGAAGCAAAAAATAGTCATCTAAGTCGCTGATACTGTCAATTGGATCTGAAAGATATTTTTGTTTTGATTAGTCAAGCTTTAATTTGATCTCGACACAAAAGGGAGTACTGATAAATTTAACCTTCAACAGAAACAAACAAACTTGGAGCTCAACAAATCGAACTCGCGCGAATCGCCAATTTTAAACCTGGGATTATTAGACATCTGTCAGTCAAGATTTAAGATCTCTTTACTCAGGAGATTATACGGATACGCTGCAAGAAGCATTTTCTGAAAAACAAGCAGTCCCCCGGGAAAAGCCATACGCCGAAGGAATTTCCGGTTTAAAACCATGGTGTAATTTTGGTATTGTCATTGGTCGGCATTGTCGCGCGCCGGAAATCAGTAATTTCCAGAGATAACACTATGATTAATTAATTTTTCATTCTTGTCGTATTTAACAGCGTTTATGTAAAGAGAGAAGGTTCGCAGGACTTCTGTCGCTAAGTACAGAATTGTTTGCAGCTTTGAAAGCGCCTTTTGTGTCTTTTGTCAACAAAAGTCGAACCCACGCCGTGATGTCGAGTGATGCTCTTTGTTCTCATTTCCGGCCGCCAATAACAGATAACGTCATGTTTCCGTTTCCGGTTAATTTCCGTAAGCTTGTGGTGATACAGTGTCACGTGCATGAATTATCGCTCAAACCAGTTGCAGTGAACAAGAACAAACTAATGCTTGCTTCTTTCATCGGCCAATTTAATATTCCAACGCGGATGGTTTTATTTCACAGCCAAAGACAAGGCGACAGCGCCGATTTTGCAACTCTGACCGAGGTGACAAAGTGAACAATTTTCCCGCCGCGTAATTTCCGGTTTGTGGTTTAGAGGTCACTGTGTGATCAAAGCATCCCCACAATAGCCGTTGCTAAATCTTGTCTCCTTTCATTTTGTTTCTTGTGGTTACAGCTTTACGTGGGCGTAAAGCGGAAATATCGAGAACTTCGAGCGTAGATAGCCGGTAGCATGTATCCCTCCAGAGAAAGTCACCAGAGTTCTATAAACTGCGGAGAAAATAGGACCAGGTTGGAGGGATTACCACTGACTCACGAACCACGCGTTTGGCCATACAGTCCACGGCCAGAGATGTACCCGTACCAAATCGATGCTAATGAGCACAACAAATCAAGCTCCAGGTAAGTTTTTTTACATTTTATTTTTTTCCCGAAATAATTCACTCTTTAGAGGCCTTACTTTATCACCATTTCATATGACGGTTTAAATATGATACATTTTCCCCGCGAGGAACGGTATGATATACGTGCGTCCGTTCCGAAACTTATTCGAAACCGTTAAAGCGATTCGTAAAAATAATTGTTGAAATGTCATCTTTGTGGCCAAATTTAGCTTGCATGTCAGACCACTGCTTCCGCTACACTGCCTTCTTGCGTTTTTGTGAAATCCGTCCAACGAACGTTGTCATTTCCTCGGTTTGCGTTTTTGATTCGAAAGGCTTCTGCTATATCTGTTATTTCACCGGTTTGAGTTTTAGAGTAGAACTGCGAGTACCGACGCTTTAAACAATCACTTAAGATCACTCCTTCTAGAACGAGATAATCCATTCGTCAGGGATTTTATCCAATCTTTCCTGGAACTTCCATTTTTCGCACCCGACTTTCTCGGGTGAGATTTCTTTAAAAACCAGTCAAGGTAAGTTCACTGAGTAGAGAGCATGTTTGACCAGACGACTTCTCTATAAAATCATACTTGAATATTTAACCTCTTGATTTCACCATAAATATTCATTTGTTCATTTTATTTTAAACTGCCCGTGATAAACCGAGGAATCCGCTTTCAAAAATAAGTCAAATTTAATAGAAAAGATACCAGCTTAGATTAAAATCTGCTGTAGTGTGTGATTTCTTTGCTCCTATTTTACCGATGAAGCCCTGGGCCGTGTATTGTTTGAATAGTTTGACGGTGAAATATCTTGTTCGCCTTACGTCGTTCATTAGTCAGTATTAACCAACTGTAAAATTATTCAAACCGACTTTGAATGTTCTTTAGAAGACGCCGATGTACTCGTAATAAGCCAAATGAAGGACCTCTCGATGCAGAGAAATTTGACAGTTCAGCAAGGGTTTGAGCTTTCAGCTTGAAAATATTGTTGCACTATTTTTCTTTTCTGAAAATGAGTAATAACAATAATAACAAATACTGTATGTTCCGAAAACGTCTAGAGAGTGTCTAAGAGGAAGGTATACGAATTTCCTGTTTGGAAATACGTAAAGGTGTCCTAAATTACAATATTAGGTTTTTTTGATATGGTTTTCCGGTTGTAAGAGAGAAAACAAAGAGGGAGAAGAAGGAATAAACTGTATCCTTTGTTTTGGCTATAAGCAGGCATTACCGTATTTTCTGAAAAGGAGGAGCTTTTGGATTTTTCGTGGAAGTTGAAATGTCTTCATCACGATCGATGCAACTTGTTTTCAAATCCGGTAGACTTCTTACTGCTCAACGCCTGTTCTTTTACTAGAAGGAACAAGGAAATCGACGAGCTAAAAACGAAATTAAAAAATCTCGTCATGAGGCGAGGGGAGACGTAAAGAATTCGAGGAATGCTAAAAACAGGCGTGGGTTGGGTCAGGAAAGCACTTCGATGTTTGAAAACAACATGTAATCTATCAGGTTTCGAATTTTCCTGACAGAAATGGGCAATATGCTCTGGGAGTGAGACATGTTAATTACTAAAAGCAAGGTATGCCAGAAGAAGCACCGGAAGGCCGGACCCTTCAAGAAACCTCTTACTGTATCTTGAGAATTCCTTATTATCAAAATTGAGCCTTGTTAAGTCTCTGAATTAGGAATAATCAAAAGAAACTTATTCAAAAACCTTTGTATTAGACATCAGTCTGCTTTGCTCGCTGTGTTTTAAACGCATCATAAGAATTTCGTTTTTCGTTTAAATAAAAAACTTTCGCAAAATGAACTGCTTTTGAAGCTACAGTGTATTTTGAACAATATTGTTTCTCTTTAATACAAGAAATCTCTGGAGATCGCCTTATTTGACAAATCTATTTTCGTTTTATTTTCATAAGCTGTAAACTTAAAAAATATTGACCTTGCGTTAAAAATAGCATATAATTTTTTTTCACAAACAGGTTTCAAAGTAAGATTACTCAGAGGTCGCATTGTCTAGGTTCACTTCAAGCAGAGAGTATTGTGGGAATGCACAGACCCTGCAGAATTTGCTAGCTTATCTCATTTATACCAATAAATTAAGGCTTGCAGTCCTTAAGCACGTATAATTTTAGCTTCTAACTCACGCGTTACGTAATCTGACCACAATAGGAAAAAGCTTTTGTTTTTGCTAATTTCTTAATAACTTCAGCCTTTCCTGTATCACCTATGCATTTCATCACGTCTTAAACATTTTCAGCATGGTTGCCCTTGAGCTCCATGTTTGTTCATGGGGTGCAAAATAGTATGAAATAGTTTCCAATTTACACGGTCTTTGTGGGAGTCGTGCCAAGTCACGTACAAAAAAAAGCATCCCTCTACTTGCGATGCTGTTTGGAGAGGAAAAACTCAATCTAATTGTACAATAATTTTTGTCGATATTCAAAGATGATTTATAATGTTCTCTCTCTCTCTCTTTCAATCTCTCTCTTTGTATGTTATTTCTAGTGAGATTTCTAAAGACGCTTACACATAACATAACTCATTTATTTGTGAGTGGATTTCAATAAACCTCTTATCATCATAGAGATATTTTACGTCAGAAAAGCTTCAATTACGTGACACATTCCTATTGTGTTGAAGCAAATTTGGTGTACTCTTGTTTCTTTTCATCATTTTAAACAAGCCAGGGTTGTTAAACCAGCTGTATTGTCAGCAAGCAAGGTCGTGCGCCTGGAGAGAAATTTTTACCCAACCTTTGACTGAATGTCACTTCCGAGGTACACTAGTTTGTAGTTCTATTGCTTCTAGGGACAAAATATTGCAGAGTTCCGTCCGTTTGGAGTAATTCCGGAATTCCGAGGTTGTTAATGGTCATTCTATTTTTATATATATTCAAAAATATTGCTTCGTGGTACTGAAATTGGATGTTTTTTGCTAAATTTTAACCAGAAATTTCCCCATATTTTTCTGTGGGCGTTGTTGAGGCGTGACCAAATAATAATAAAAAAAAAAACCAAAGTAGTTCCCTCTCGCTCGAAAGTCTTTGTCCGACAAAGGAATCAAGAACCAAGAGGTTTTTTAACTTGTATACCAGAAGTATTAGCTTTTATGGATGAGTTCCAAAAGAAGCCGTGACAACTTCCGAAATATTTGTAGGCACGATTCGTGCGAAGAATACAAACAAGCTCGACAGGAAATTAGCCATTGAACTTTTCCGGTAATACCAAATAACTTATAAGCCGAACATCACGCTATTTTGTAGTTGTACGTGTCGCGGCAGAAGTGAAACTTCAGCGAGGAATTAGAGAAGATTCATAGAGACATTCATGGCTTGTGTTTTTCCTAGGTTGGATCCAGCTTTGGCTTACCCTGTTCCTTTGAGACCAAGTGTTTTTCAACACGCACGATTCATCGATAAAATGCAACCCAGTATGACAAGAGTCAAGCAAGAAAAATACGAGATGGCGTACCCAGAGGAACCTTTAAGCGAAGGTAGGTCGCTCAGTAGATTTGATAGATAAGGACTGAAACGATTATTTCTTTTTTAAAGCGAGAGAACGTTTTTCACTTTCCATGTTATCTCTACATCAACTCCTAACGGTGAAAGTCAATTATCTCTTGTTCACAATTAAAGCAAAATTCTTAATCCAAGTACAAAACAGCCTAAAACAACAGCACTAAATTCAGTTTTTCCTTTTTGCCGTTAGCCAGTATTATTTATAATTTTAGAATGCTTCCACTCGTCAGTGATTTTAAGCACTGTTCGAGAAGTCGCTTTCGTAGTATTATACACATTTTCATGATTCAGGACTGTCTGGGTACGAAATTTGTAATTCTCTTAAACGTCGTAAGAGTGAAAATTAAGACAACAATATTTCCATGTACAACAACGAAAAAACCAGCAAAATATCACTAGCTTTACAACACAGAGAAAAACCTTGATTTTGAGAGGAATGATTTAAGCGAAATGGAACGTGACAGCATTCAGGGATTATACAATTGTGTCGGTTGCCTTGTAAACGGAACAATTGGACGCCCCATAGTGGACGTCATACTATGACTGAGCCTTCCAGCCTTCCATTTTCATGTACGTTATTATGAATAGAAATGAACATAACCAGAACGAAAACTGATGCAACAGGGAAATCGAATGGTCCTTTCGCATTTACGTAATTCCGCAACTCAGAAATGTTCCGTATCAAAAATAGATTTTTGTTGGATATTTTAATTGTGTCACGAGAAGTGGGTATTACGAAATACTTCGGTTGTAATTTGGTTACGAGTGTTTTTGTCGTTTTGTTTTTTTTTGTTTTTTTTTTTAAGATATATGATTCTTGTTCATTCATAGATAATTAGAAATTAAATGTATCTTTATCAAGGGGGCAGCATGAAAAGTTATTGCGAGTTTTATCGTACGTTTAATGAGATAGGAAAACTTTGTTCAGCCCTCTATTTGTGATGCTCAAGGGCCTCTTGTTGCAACGATCAGATCACCCCAGGAGGCACTGGAAAGGAGTGTCAAAACGTTGGGTCGATGGATTGTAATTTCGGTTACATTCATTAAATCTTTAAACCAGAGTAGCATCAAACCATATCTGATAGTCCACCTGTTTGCCGTGTGAACTTAAATATAACCTCTATCGGAACTTGTTCATAGGATAGAAATCCCTTAGTGTGGTGTTTTTTCAAGTGTTTTTGAAAGGTGACTTCTGTGAACTAAATTGAAACTACAATGTATATTATTACATGACTATAGTTTAATGTTACGAACTACGGCAGGTCTTTTGTTGCTTGTAAATGGTGTCAAAGTTGAAGCTAAAAAAAATCGACATTTTGTGTTTCAGGGTACTATTTAAACAATTCTGTTAAACTAGAAGTTCCTGGATATTGATGTAAACAAATAAAATTAAAATAAAAGAATAGATTTCAAAATAATGGCAGAGTGCGTTGACAATGCTTCCTTTTCCCTCGTTTTCCCATTTTTTTTTTTATGTATTTATCTAGTACACATATCTATTTATCTGTTCATTTATTCATTTTCGTAATTATCTTTTTTCATTCGGTTATGTATTTATCTATATATTCATTTTTTTCTTTTCATTTCAGTTGATCCACGAAGATGGAGTAGAGAAGATGTAACGCGTTGGCTCCAATGGACTTCTGAAATGTTTCATCTTGGAAGTATCAATCCTGAGCGATTCCAAATGAACGGTAAAGCTCTATGTCTCATGACAATGGATATGTTTCTGTACAGAGTGCCCGAGGGAGGAAACGTCTTATATCAAGACTTCCAGAGGAGGCTACGAAACGCTGTTGCCTTACAGAACTAAGTGCGCACTACCTGTTACATCTGTTACAAAAGTGATTTAAGATGGCTTTGGATTGGAGTTTGAAACTGTAATAAGCTGAGCAAAATTTAGAGAAAGTGTTCGTGGGTTGTTTAAAGAAGACTGAGATGAAATGAAACCAGTGCACTACAAGAAAACGTAGTCAAGAGCGGCGTTAAAACTGTCGCGCGAAAAGATTGCAGTAATTTGTGTTTTTTAGCACATCGACGGCTTTGGAACTTTCGTTGCGACTTAGAGATTAGATTGAGGACTTGTTTCGGAATTGGTTGCTGTTGAATCTTTTGGTTTCCTCGGGAAGCGGAAAGAACGATATAAATGCGATAGGAAATGATTAATGAAAAAAAAGACTGGACCAAATAATACTTTACAAATAGACTTGTTAGCAAAGTTAATTAAGCTAGTGTTAAATGTAGCATAAGAAAGCTCAAAGCAAATTATTTGAAATGAATGAAAGTATGATTTGTTTCTTGTAAATAGTTTACAAAGATGCTTTATTTTTATGAAATATTCAAGACGTACAACTAAGTTTATATTTCAAGTCATCACAGACTTAAGAAATTTTCTACAGTCATGTTACTATCATGCATCAATAAACATGTAACAAGGGACCTATTATTCGGTGGTCTTTGTGCGGTGCAATATATTCCACATTCCTTGTCGATATGTTACCTTTAATTTTGTGGTATCTAGAAAACCGACTTAGGAAACATATTTCCGCCAATATGCTCATTTCATCGAGCTGATGGTTCGGCTTTTTGTGATGAGCTTCTTAATGGATTAATGAAGTCTGAAACAAAAAACCGCCAAGAACTCTCTGACTTTATTTACAACCCCATTTCACGCAATGGCATTGAAATAAGAGAGCCGTGGCCGTCGTTTCAAAAAAAGAAAAATATATCTTTTTATAACTTTTGGTTTATCTTCGCATATCTGATAAATTGAAGTTATCTTTAAAGATATTTCGGAAAATCCCTACGGCAAATTGGCGCACGCGCATGATAGTTGAGGTCTTCTGCGCCGCCAAGATTGGGAAATGCTGCTATTCCACCCACGCCAATCAGCTCTATTTTCAAATCCAACGGGCGCATCGTTCGATGGACTGACTTTTTTCAGGTATGTATTTGTCATGAATGAAGAGGAGAGCTGAGCATTATAGCAAAGGAGATAATGTCAAAGTTAAGACTTGGTAAAAGTTGGATTACTAAGGACGTGCTTGGGTACTTGAGCGACATACACTTAACATGCTTTCTAGTCGCATTCTTGAGAGCTAAGGAAAATCGAATGGACCAATGTTAAGGGCAAACCAATTTAATGATTTGGTCGCTTTCCACAACTGAGGTTTCATGCACACGAGGCAAATACCAACCATAGCTTGTTGACGATTAACATTCTATAACGGATACTACTTATTCCTCCTTACCTTTCACCTCATTTTCCTTGGAGCTAAAAATCCGTAAGTCAAGAGCTAAAACATGTTTAACTGCGACTTGAGGATTAACCCCTAGAACATTTTAGCGATCCAGACTAACTCGGAATTCAATTGACTCGCGCATTTTTCTTCCAATCAAACCCATTCGATCTCTTTCGCTTTCTGCGTGCTTTACGTCAGGAAAAAAGCACAGTTGAGGTTTATTTTAAAATCTCAATATGCTGGACGTAGCTCCCTGAGGTCCACGTGGCACTATCCGTGCCGGAACAGGCGCTTGTCTTACTTTTCAGTTTTTTAGGCGGGCGGATGAAAGAGCGCGGGCGAGACACCTGCAAATAGAGGCGTTTTTTTTTTTTTTTTTTTTTTTTTTTTTTTTTTTTTTTTTTTTTTTTTTTTTTTTCCCCTCCACTTGCGCAAGTCTCGCTTCTAGCCTTTTCTTAACCTCGCCTCGTGTTTTCTTCTGCTTGCCAGAAAAACACAAAAAGCTGGCGCCTGTTTCACAGCCTAGGGCTAATGTGCCCGCCACAGTTCATTGTCTTAGACGAAGCAACTGGCTAAATGAACGTTTTTTGTACTGGCCATGGGTTAGGGCGGGACATCGCTCTTTCTAGGACTGACGAACAACTTCAAACAACCTTTCAAATAAGAAAGATGGTAAATTTAATGCTAGCCATAGTAATAGAGAAAGAGGTTAATTTATCTCTTCTCTGTCTTATTCTGTTCATACATCTGACGCTTTCCACATTGCTTATCGTAGCTGTAGGTAAGACGCATGCCATATATGGACCTAGTAATCGCGTAGCTCATCGTGGAGTCTTTGTAGCTCATTGGTAGAACATCGGGATACGATACCCGCGGGTTGTCGAAGCTCGATTCTTCATGGGGCTAGATATATTTTTTCCTTCTTTGCACCGCGCTCGAGGTAAAAAAAAATAAACATATTCCCCTACAACCTTTACCATCCTTTTTTTTTTTTCTTTTTGCCTATTATCGGTCTTAACTCTAAAGACTACTGCAGCTCGATGCGCTTTGCGGCTGGTCACTTAGTCAAGAAGAAGTAACTCATGATCAGTGTACATGTTGCTTTCTCCTTGTGTGGTAGAATGACAGCACTTGGAATCCTTTTGCATACTTTAATTCTTGTTGTTTTCTTCATGAGAGAGTAACAGTGCGTTAATTTATTCACGCTTTTTCCTTCATCTCCACATAGCTTGATCCTTGATTAGCTGGCTGAGCGTGCAAACAAAAGTCCGTGCCAAATCTGTGACGCAGCATCCGATTATTGGCTATGGTTGTTAATCCATATACATCAGAAGCTGTCGAATTTTCAGCAAACCACGCTGTTCGTCGTAGCGCGAAGACGTGCCGTTCGTTGTGCAAAACATAATCTTGCACTCTGGAAGGAAGAAGACACAGGAACTGTAAAGAAGAAGAACAACAGCACTTACATGTCACTACAACAGCAGGTGAGCGTTGCCTTTGAAAAATATCGCCTTAAGCACCTTCAGAGTTCTAAACGAGTTGTATTATTTTAGTTGAACGACGTAGCGCGAATGGGCCGCTCGGTCTCCAACTCGAAATTAGACTGAATGGGGTGTTGACTTCGAGAAAAGCAGAACCTATGATTACAAAATATCGTTACTAAAACGATCAAATAAGAATGTTTTGCTGGCTTAATCTACTGGGGACTTCATTTTGTATTTGAATGCAGCCATGTGAGGTGCGATGACTCGACTTCTCCATGGCCCTTGGTTCATTGTGCCGGAATAACATTTAAAATAGTTTTGGTGCTTTCTGTCTTTCTATAATTGTGTTAAAGAGCAAAACAACTGTCCGAATTTTAATGTTTAGGTTCCGTCCTCATGCAAAGTAAGTGTTTCCTGATCACATTTATATTTTTCTACTTTCAGGAAGAGAGATTTTGTCAGAAAGATGGATGAACAGAGATTTTTGTCAAGAGAAGACACTGGAATCACTGAATTTTTAGGAGATACCGCAAAGATAAGATATGTGTCTCATTATTGTGCGAAGTCTTTGTTCTTTCACAAATTGTCTTGGATTGGATAAAACTGATTACATGGCAAATGAACAGTTTTCAATTAGCCACCATTTTTAGAATAATTTGTCATGTTACTGACTGTTATGTAGACACTGAGCGATCATATGATTTATTTGAGCTACCCTTCAGTTTTGATTTGGTCAAATTTATCTCAGATAATCTCGTTGCATCGAATTAAAAACAGAAACTGATATAATCCTGGTTACGGAATGCTGACACTTAAAGTATCAATTCGAAGCTCTGATCACTCGTGTTTTTGTTTGTTTAACAGATATATTCCAGTTGATGTCACACAGAGGTCAGTAATATTAAGATGGCACTCCAAGAAAATACTTCGGCCGGTCAAAGGCCAAATAGGGAAAGAGTTCCATGTAACTCCATACATTAATTATGCATTACATTTCATAGAGACTAAATATAAAGGTTTCTTTGCAACACTCTATGCATAATTAATGTTGGGGTTATATGGAACTCTAGCCCCAAATAGAATTCAAAATTAAAATCTCTTAATGCGCATTTTCCTTACGTCAGAAATCACTTTTTTGAACACCATCGACTAACAATATCTTCCAAGATTGACCTTGAAAAGCTAGTTATCAACTTATAGAAGATTCGGAAAGATTTCCATATAACCTCATACCAATCAAAAACAGAGCTGTAGTCCCAAAGGAAATCTGTTGTTTTGCCTCTGCTTTCCTTTATCCAAGAATTGAATGCATAATGAAGTATGGGCTTATACGGAAATCTTGCCGAAGATTCCTCACAGCAGATAAAAACAACTATCGGCACCTTACGTACGACTTGAAAAAAAAACAAAAAAAAAACAAGCAAACAAATGCTGCTATCAACGACTAAACGGAACAAACGAACCTTTCTGACTGTTCAGAACTATCTTATGAACGTACGAACACGATTTGAGTGTAACAGCCACTCTACTGCAAAACTGATCAATCAGTTTTACGAACCAAAGTTGTAACGTTCGAGTTGTTAACAATTGTTCACTCAACTCTGATATCACAAGTTTCGACAACAAACTTTTCCAGGACTACTCTCACACGCGTACAATCGTACTTCACGATTGACACCTGCATGATACCAAGAGAAAAAGTTGGCCCAAGACGTATTGATTCAGCTGGAAATTCATTTTCGGTATGAACTGTATCAAACTGGAGATTTAGGAACTTTCATTTAAAAAAAAAGGAAGTATTTGTTTTTTATACACGGAGCAAGAATTTGGTACAGTGCCATATTAAGTTCTGTTCGTTACTGTGTGCCATCGACTGAGTTCTGTTTTCCGTATTTATGTTTTAAAACTTTAATGCCTGGTCACAAGCTCTTTCGAGAAACTAATTAACTTGAGATTTACCGCCAAATAAACCAGTTTAAATTGACTCCTTTTTACGAAGAAGAAACAAAGATTTTTACAGCGGGAAGAGTATATTCGATTTAAATTAAAATAGTGAATTTTTTTGGCAAATCGTCGAAAAGCAGTTTACAGATTGGAGGAAAATCAACGTTGACAAACTAGCTAGCCATCTTTTGACTAGTGAAAAAATAAATAGATTCGCAATAATAATTGACTCTTCCGTATCGAATGCTTTCTCAGATCGACCACGAGTTGATGGAAGATATAAATTATAAACGTATAGGCTCATTTTTAGAATTGAAGTTTATTCAGAGAGCACTTTGATTTTACGAAACTCAAGCGCGAACCAAACTGCGAATAAATTAGATTCAAGGTAGATCTAGAGTTTAAATCGAAATCAAGAGTTTATTGTGTCCTCCCTTTGTGAAAAGCTAGTCCCTTTTACTATTCCTTCCCTGCGAGGGTTGTCATTTTGCTGGTTTATTTGAAATTATTTCTTTTTTGGAATATGAACTTAATAGGTATAGTCCACAACACTAAGTCGCTTTCGAAAAAAGAATCTCTTGAAACTCTTTGGACCAGGCATTTGGTTTTAAAATATATCGTAGATATCGTAGTTAATTTACTCGTTATTTCAAGTGGAAGAAAGATCTTTTGAGCAGTCATTTGGTGTAAAACAGGAACACAAAAAGAAATGATGAGCAAAAGTTTGAAATTTTGATCTTCAAATTCAGTTTACAATGAAACACAACGCATTTGAT